TAACCTAACCTGCTTGTTTAAGTTCCAGGCCAGTGAGAGACCCTGTCTGAAAGAAAAAATGGTGGCCAGCACCTGAAGATCAACACCTGAGATTGTCCTCTGGTGCCTACATGCATGTATAGAGACCTGCCTGAGTGCACACACACACACACACACACACACACACACAGAGCTGTGATTACTGTGTGTCCTGAAGCCTCCAGCATACATTTCGGGAGGAGCCATTAGGCTTTTGTTTGCATTTCTGAGTAGCTTCTGAGAACCCCATTTGGTGACATTTTCCTCCTACCATGGTTTCCTTACCAAGAAACGGGCAAGGAGACCAGAAGCCCAGGCCAGTTCCCTCTGCAGAGGGAGTGCAGAGCCCTGCTGCCTGGAATTTCCTGGGGAAACGCTCCACTGTGGGGATGCAAAGGGCTTTTCAGTTTGGGGCTGGTGAGGGGTTGCTACTGTAAGCTCCTTGTGTAGCGAGGGGAAAACATAGTTTTCTATTCAGCCAGAGGAATTATATTTATCACCGTAGACCAGAATAGAACATGTGGCCGGCACTGGCAGTCCTGTGTGCTACTTTTAAGGAATTCTGTGTTGTCATGCGGCTCAGATGGAGCTGCTGATTTGATTCTGGCTTCTTCTATTTCTTTTTCTTCTTTCATCTGTGTAGACCATATGGTGCCTTTCTTGTTCTACGTGAGGAAAGGGCTACGGAAGAGGCCTCTATGCTGGGGGGTGGCGGGGAACCGCTGAGATTTGGAGTTGGTCTCCAGCCCTTTTACTTCTGGTCTCCGTTGGTGACCGTGGGAGGCCCTCTTCCTTGCTCTGGGCCTTCCTTTCTATCCCCATCAATAAAATGTCATTCCTGTCCTCAGAGGATCGACCCTTACAGTGAGCAAGTCTTGGAAACTTTGAAGTGCTTGCTGCCTCTGTTAGCTGTTAGCCAGTGGAATGGTGCTGGTGAGTTGGCCCCAGGATTATGTTGACCTCGAAGAGCCAGTAGCTCTCCTTTACACCCTGAGTTCCTTTCGGGGTCATTTTGTGCCCTTCTTTAACTTCCCATGTGGCAGACTCTGTTGTCTTCTGTTGAAAAGGAATGGGGTGGTGAGGAGGGGTAGGGCTGGTGGTCCCGGGGACATAATTGGCTGTGTAAGGCAGGGAGGGCAGGAGCCCCGCCTGCAGCCAGGCCTTCATGTGGGAGTCTGACCACTACCTGCCTCTGACCCAGAAAAAGTAGCCAGGCCTTGCCTGTGATCTGGGCCTCCTGTGTTGCTCACCTTAGGGAATGTGTTCTCCATATGTTGGTCCACCCAGGAGAGAAACATCTGGGCCTTTACTCGGGGGCTGAGACTGGGTTTTTCTTATTGGTGTCAGGGTGTCAGTCACCTGGGCTATTCTTTACGCTTTTTATTTATTTATTTATTTATTTATTTATTTATTTATTTATTTATTGATTGGTCTTTTTGAGACAGGGTCTCCTTGTAGCCCCAGCTGTGTTGCAAAACTTGCTATAGACCAGGCTGGCCTCTGCCTCCCGAGTGCATGTGTTCCACCATGGCTAGAGCCTGGTGCACTATTTTAAAAATATTTTATTTATTATTTTTATGTGGATGTGTGTACTGCCTGCATGTAGGTGAGTGCACCCATGTTGTGCAATGCCCACAGAGGACAGAAGAGGCTGTCGGATCCCCTGGGACTGGAGTTATGGACAGTTGTTAGCTGCCATGTGGGTGCTGGGATTCAAACCCAGGTCTTCTGCAAGAACAGCCAGTGTTCTTGACTGCTGAGCCATCTCTCCAGCCCCGCACTACTCTTTTTTGAAAAAAAAAAAAATTGCTTTTTATTCTTAATACACCTGTGTGGAGCTCAGAGACCTTCCTCTGTCACTCTCTCTTTTTTGAGACAGGGTCTTTCACTGAACCTGAGGCTCACCAAGATTTGCCTGTCTCCATCTGCCCCCTCCCCCAGCACAGCCCTGGGGTTACAGATGCTCGCTGCCATGTCCAGCTTTTACATGGGTGCTGGGGATCCAAACTCAGATCCCAATGGTTGTACAACAGTCACCTAATCCATGGAGCCATGTCCCCAGCCCTACACTCACTCTTTGTCCCAAGAAAGCTCCAAGAACAAGAGGTTATCCTGTCTGGAGAAGTGAATGTGAATTTTTAGGAAGGGCTGAGGTGAAACTTTCTTTCCTGAAACTTTTTTCCTCACAAAATTTATAATGTTTTTAAAAAGAAATTTAAAATATTTTTTAGTTATTATTTTTACTTTATGTGTATGAATGTATTGCCTGCATATATGTAAGTGCACCTGTGTCATGTAATACCTGTGGAGGTCAGAAGAGGGTGTCAGATCCCCTGGAACTGGAGTTACAGATGGTTGTTAGCCTCCATGTGGGTGTTGGAAATTGAACCTGGGTCTTCCCAAGAGCAACCGGTGCTCTTTAACCACTGAGCCGTCTCTCTGGCCCCAAGAAATTTAAAATAATTAAAAAAAAATAAAAGACCTTATCTTGGGGCTGGAGAGATGGCTTAGTGGTCAAGAGCACTGGCTGTTTTTGCAGAGGACCTGCATTCCATTCCCAACATCTACATGGGGGCCAACAACCATCAGTAACTCCAGTTCCAGAGGATCCAACACCCTCTTCTGGTCTCTGCAGATGCTGAGAACTTTTTTACTCAGTGTACCCACATACATATAGACAAAACACCTATACACATATGAAAGAGAAAATAGTTATAAATAAATAAATCAACACCTCATTAGCCTCAACATCATCAAGTTATGCTGCAAGTTTTGCTGAGTGACTTGGGTTCTGCAGACCCTGGATCAGGCTCTTTGAGAAGTGCCATTTCTGAGGATTCAGCAAGGACATTCCCACCCACAGAAGCTGCACTGATGGCTGAGCAGGTGGCCACGTGACAAGCCTGTGTCGGTCCTCTGGCCTTTATGAAAAGTTGGTGTATTGAATTCTAGGTCCGTCCTGGTTTCTTTTCTGTTGCTGTGATTAAAACACCCAACCAAAAGCAACTTAGGGAAGACAGGTTTTATTTGACTCACAGTTCCAGGTTACGGCTCATTTGTGTAGGGACGTCACAGTGGGAACTTAAAGCATCACATCCACGGTCAAGCACAGAGAACAAACTCATGGATCCTTGCTGCTGCTTGTGCTCAGCCAGCTTTCCGCTCGCATGGTTCCCAGCCCAGCTCCGGAAATGGTGACACCCACATTCAGGGAAGGTCCACCCACCTCAGTTAACAACCTAGACAATCCTCCACAGACAGGTCCACAGGCTAACCTGATTAGATAATTCTTATTTGAAGCTTTCTTCCTAGGTGATTCTAGCATGTGTTGACAGTTAAACTCTCCAGTCTAGTCTTCATGAGGGTACGTTTGTAATTTTTTCTGGTTACATGAAAAATGAAAGCTACAGCAGACCTCACCGAGAGTGTAACAGAGGCTTTTCTGTTAATTGTGCCTTGCGTACTCTTCATATATTTTAAGGATTTAGGGTTTTCTTAATAAGATTCACTTTAGAGGTGGAAATCATGTCATGATGGGAAGTGGTTTCATTAGTTGGCACAACCCACAAGCTCTCTCTAGTTTTAATGTTAATTTAAAATGACAGACTCTTATTTTTTTTTAATTTTTATGTTTTAGTCTTTTTGAGACAGGGTCTCCCTGTAGCCCCAGCTGGCCTGGAACTCACTGTGTAGACCAGGCTGGCCTTGAACTCACAGAGATCCACTTGCCTCTGTCTCCCAAGTCCTGGGATTAAAGGCGTGCCCCACTACGCCTGGCTTGCAGCCTTATTTTTTAAGCATCTTTCCAAACAAACCTGCCCTCCTCTTCGTGTCTTTTTCGTTATTCATTGACTCGTTCATTCATTCATTCATTCATTCATTCATTCATTCATTTTTCACAGCCTGTTATGTACTGGACTCTGGTGGTAGAGCAGTGAGCAGAGCCACCTGAAGTCCCTGTGTCCTGATCGGACAGGTCACAGCATCCTGTGGTGCAGCACTGTGGTGGGGCTGCTGGTACTCCAGGTCTTCTTTCCCCTTGGGTATATGCATCTCCCAGGCACCATGAGTCTGTGCTGTGGCTGGCTCACACCTCTTCTTTTCCCTGGAGACGTGCCTTTGAAAGCCTGTATCCCCTTCTCCAGAGCTGGCCAGTCATTGGCGGGTGCTTTTCAAGTGAAGAGTACTCTGTCATTCCTGAGTCCCCAGGCGATGAGCTGAGCCAGCCAGGCTTGCTTAGCTCCTTCCCTGACCCATCTTCTTTTCTCTCCCTTCCTTCCTCTTAGTACTTAATAGGCAACCAAGCCCTGCATTACTTGGCCCTAGACAGATGCTACTGCAACCCATCCAAGGAGGATTATGTTTAAGTGAGATCAGGAGAGCCAGTTTAAAGAGATGATGACAGAGCTGAGACTTTTGAGGTGGGTAGAAGCCAAGAGAGTGAAGGAAAAGGGTGTTCCCATGAGAGAAACAACTATACCAAGTTCTGGTGACGAGACTGGTATTGCTGGAGCAGAGAAAGAGGGTGACAGTGTGAGGAGAGACCGAATGGTCAGTAGGAGCACAGTGGACTTTCCAGGCCACTGCAAGGAGTCTCCGCAGTTGGTGAGCAATATCATCAGAGTCCCCACGTCATTGTCTTGGAGAGAGTTAGGAGGGAGAACCCAGCACTGGGTAACTTCGAGCTCTGAAGGTCAAGTCCAGCCTTCCAGTGTCAGTTCCAGCACATCCTGGTGCCTCTGGCCTTAGGGAGGGTCAACCACACTTTGTGATCTTCCAGTCCTAACAGCTTGCAGGTGTGCCTGGTTCTTATGTAGAGTGTTTATTTTCCGTGAGTAATGTGTGTCCTTTCTTTTAACCATAGATGCATAGAGTCCAAAACTTTGGGGGCTGGAGAGCAAAGTTGGGAACAGCTCTGTGCCGGAGGGGTGATGGTGAGTTCTCTGATGTGCAAGTAAAGGAATCTCTCTTTTTCTTTCTAGGTAAAAACAGGAACAGAAAAGGCAGAAGGACCAGGGGTCCAGAGAAGGATGCCCGTGATGACCATGGTGTCTCGGTAGCCCACGAGACTGTCAGAGAGAGTAAGTGAGGCTGTTGTCACTCACCCAGGGTGGGTACAGGCCCCTGGCATGACTTCCTGATTACAGATACTCTGTGGGGTAAGAAGGGACCAGTTCTGCCTAGGTTTGTGTCTGTCCTTAGCCATTTCGTGGAGCATGGACATCTCAGCAGCTCACACTTTGCTGGGGGCATTGCTGCCCTACTGAGATTTCCTGATTGATTGCTCAAGTCACTTTTGAATTCTCTGTCCTCACCCTTAGGCTGTCCTAACACCATATTCTTGCTGTGTGGCTTCTTAGCTGCCCACAGTTCTTACAAATGTGTGTAAGTGTTCATACATTTTGCCAAAGGTGGTGGCCAATGCAGATGCCAACCACCTCAAGTCACCTGAGTACATGGATGACATTGCCTTAGATGTCTACCCTTGGAGAGCTTTTCCGAGAGAAAACGCTGTCGTGTGACTAAGGCACCCTGTCAGCAGGGTCAGGTACCCAGATATACTTTGCATGTTGTTTTACAATCATCCATGGGGTTGGATGGAATTCTGTATATTTCTTTACCTCTCTCTATGCTGTTCAACTTTCCCGTTCCCTTCCCCAAAGTTGAAAGTGCCTTGACTTTGGACTGATTCCTGTGCCATCGTAGGCCAATTGAATGAAGAGAAGTACCTGTGTGCTGAGCAGAGGGGCTAAAAAGCTTTGTTTATTTCTATCTTGAACCTAGGCAATTGGCCCATGGTGTTGAATGGTAAGTAGATTAGATGTGGATCCAGCAGGGAGACTAGAGACACTCAGCTGATCAGCAGACACCTTAGAAAGAAATTATTTTTACCATATTAGGTGAATTAAGTTAAGGGAATGCAGGAGACTAATGGGGAGAAAGAGGAAGGGAGGGGAAAGTGTGTGTGTGTGTGTGTGTGTGTGTGTGTGTGTGTGTGTTGGGGGGCATCATCAAAGTACATTATATAATTGTATGAACATCTCCTTATGAAGCCAAGGGCTATGTATAGTGAATATATACCAATAAAAAGACATGTTTATTGTATGCCATTGAGTCTGTAATGTTTTGTTACACAGCAATAGCTGACTGATACAACAGAAAGACTCTCCTTGCTATTTTAAAAGACCGCATATTGTCCCATCAATTGGATGCTTCATCACTTAACCTCTTAATGATGGAAATGAGGTTGTTTCTAATCTTTTGCTTCTATAAAGTGTCTCAGTGAAATCACTATATCTCTATACCCTTAGCATGCATAGGTTGCCAAGCAATTCCCTACCTACTTGGCAATTCCTAGCATGACTGGACTTGTTTCTGGCCTCAACCTCCCTTTATTTACTCAGAAGAAGCGTGTCTTTCACATGCGTCCTGTGCTGTGAGCCTCTGGGCTTGGGTGTACGTCGTCTCTCTGAGGACTTGCCAGCTGAATTGGTGACTGAGAGGACAGCTTTGGGACTGGATGGGATACTCACTGGGTGCAGGATTCTGGGAAAGTTGCTAATTTTGTTATGACTCAGTTTCTTGCTCTTTAAAGTAGAACTGAGTTCCATTCGGAGCTGTGCTGTGATGACGAATCAGGGTCTGCAGAGCGTAGCACACACAGTGAGCTCTCAGCAGCCCTTAGCTGCCCTTCGATGCTATCTTGGGTTTTTATTTGTGCCTTTGAGCAGGGTTCAGAAGACTTTTTTAGAAGATCAGATCATAAATTTTCATGCTTTATTGGCCAAGAAGTAAAAATCAGTGATTATGCAAGTACTTATATAACCACTTAAAATGCATTCTTTAAAGTGATACAAGATCCATTATTTTAAAAAAGGTTTAAATTAGCATATATTAGTTATACATGCTAGTTTGTTGTGACATTTTCTTACTGTACATTGTACTTTCATCACCCTCTCCATTATTCTCTCTTGTTCCCCCTCCTATTGATCCCCTCCCTCTTCCCAACCAGCCCTTTCTCCATCTCCCCCCCCCCCCCCCCCCCCCCCGTGCTATTGAATTCCATTAGGGTTGTTTACAGGGCCATAGGCAACTTACCAGTGGCCACATTACTGAAGAAAATGCCTCTCTCTCCTCCAGCAGCCGTTAGCTGCCTGTGGGTCCTCAGGGGCCTCAGGAGCTCCTTGTTTCTTCATAGGCCCAAGCTTTAAAAAATGTTTTTTGTTTGCTTCTTTTTTGTGTATGAGTGTCATGCCTGCATGTATGTAAGTGCACCTGTGTCCTGTAATGCCTGCGGAGGGCAGAAGAGATTGTGGGGTTCCCTTGAAACTGGAGTTATGGATGGTTGTTAGCCACCATGTGGGTGGTGGAAACCTAAGCTGGGTCCTCACCAAGAGCAGCCAGTGCTCTTAACCACCGAGCCATCTCTCCAGCCCCTTTGTGCAGCTTTGTGTATTCTGGGGATCTAACTTGTGCTTATGAGGCAAGTATTTACCTGCTAATAAACAAATTTATTTATTAATTTATTAGAAATCTGTCAGAGCCATCTGACATTTGAGGAAGGTTGAGGAAACCTTCAAATGTATGTTTTTAATGCCATGTGGCCAGCCTGCATCTCTGGACTATGGGAGACTTGGTCTGAAACCAGAGCTACCATAGGCTACTTCCTGGATGATGAGGGCTTAGGAGACAGAGATCTCTGATGTGCTTGGTGACGTGGGAAGGCTCTGTTAATTTTTCACCCAATTAACCTCCAGTGTTGTCCTTGCTGGCCAAGTCCACAGTGATACATTTTCAGGAAACGAACTAGGGCTGTGTTACCGTCAAATAAAAGTCGGCACAGGTATGCCTCTTGCTTGAAAGGATTCTGTTCCTGGGAAGCTGGCTTTTCTTTGTCACATTCTCAAAACCTTGGGGAAGCCCTCTCATTCTGTACTGCTCACTTAGGGATGGATTGGGCAGAAAACCAAATTTATTATATAATGTCCTAAAACTTCATAAAAACTTGACATTTAGGGGCTGGAGAGATGGCCCAGCAGCCAAGAGCACTGGCCGTTCTTGCTGAGGACCCAGATTTGATTCTCGGCACCCACATGGCTGCTAACAACCTTCTATAACGTACATTCCAGGGGATCTGATGCCCTCTTCTGACCTCCATGGGCATTGCACGACATGACGACATGGGTGCACTTAGACACATGCGAACAATATAGTCATACACAAAAATAAAAATAAGTGAACTATTAAAACTTGACCTTTAAGTCATTTAAAATGAAAGTTGTTCTAAACAGACTTCTTTACAGCCTGAGTGAATTCTCACAAAGTTCATTCCCTGAAATCCAAAGCCCTGGAGGACAATATTTAGAACTACGGTTTTGAGGAGATTAGGTCATGGTGAGTCTTAATGAATGGAATCAAGGCTTTTATGAAAGATGTCCCCACCAACCTTCCTTACCCCTCACTAGTGTGGATGAAGGGAGAAAACGGCTACAGTTTGTGAACCAGGAAATTGTTTCTCCACAGGCACTGAATGTGTTGGTACCACCTTGACCTTGGACTTCTCAGCCTCCAGAACCATGAGCAATGAATTTCAGCTTCTAAGCTGCCCAGTCAGCGGTGTTCCTGTTTGGCAGAGCACCCCACACAGACCAAGGCAATGCCCGATGGAAGTGTGATGTGGGATCTCACAAGGCTTTCATGTCAGATTTTCCTTTCATGAAACACTTCCATGTTCTAATAACTGTAACTTTATAGTAAATCAGGTATCTGGTAGAGCGAGACCTTCTTCCCTTGTCCTCCTCTCCCCCTCTCTTCTTTACTCCCTCTCCTTCTCTGCTCCTTCCTCACCCCTCCTCTCTTCTCCCTCCTCCCACTCCTCCTCCTCCTCTCCCTCTTCCTACTGCTTCCCTTCCTCTTTCTTCCTCTTTTCTTTTTTCCCTCTCATCCTCCTCTTCCTCCTTCCCTCTTCCTCCTCTTCCTCCTCCTCCTCCTCCTTTCTCCTCCTCCTCTCCCTCCTCCTCCTCTTCCTCCTCCTCTCCTCTTCCTCCTCCTCCTCCTCTCCTCCTCCTTCCACCTCTCCTCCTTCCTCCTCCAGTGATGGCATAAATACATGTGACACACCAGCATAGAGCCATCTTCTGAAGCACAATCTATCATGGGCCACATCATTGAAGAAAAGAGACTTTTAAGTAAGGGCATTTGAAAAAGACTTTTTTATTGAGTTTTGTAATCTCATACAACAGTTCCTAATCAAATTTGGACCCCCTCCCCAATCTATGCCCCCTCATCAGAATGTGCACAGCTACATGTGTATGTTTACACCATCTGGTATATTCTACAAAAATCTCACTTGTTATTTTGATTAGAATTCCATTAATTTCCCAAATCAGTTCAAGGAAAATGAACAATTCACAAAACTGACTCTTCTAATCCATGAACATGGTGTGTATCTCCATTTATTAGATCTTTAACACTTCCCATTATATTTTTTTTCTGCAAGGTCTTGTGCATATTTTAATATATCACACGTGTTATTCCACGATGCTTTCTTTCAACTATCCAACTCTATTCCTGGTGTATATGACTGATTTTTCATATATTGATTTAATATCCAGCAACTTTATAAATTCTTACTAATTGTATATTACTTTGAATTTAGATATAAGATCATTTATATAAACTAAATAAACACAGGTCCTTTCTATTTATTATATATTTTATTTATTTATTTTACTGCTCTGGCAAAGATCCCATCTCAAAAATATTTTTCCTTTTGGGTTTTCTGCTTTCAGAATTTTACTTTTCTTGATATTGTGGAAAATCAAGTTCAGCATAGAATCAAGCAGTACTTGGAGAGTTGGAAAACTCACGTTTATTCATGCTGGTAGATTCAGAAGAGCTAGTGCTCTGTGAGCCCAGACCCATAGTTCCTTACAGTCTTTATAGTTCTTTATGCATCATTTATTAGCCGCTACAACATTGCTGGATTTAAATTACATACAGTCTATATGATTACCAGTGCAGTTGCTTACAAGTCCCGAGACCACTGAGGGGAAATTCCTTCTGCAATTATGTGGTCATG